ATAAGTAAAAAGTATCATTCAATAATAAAACAAATATATATACAGATTAAACTATATACCATATAAGATTAGATAAATATTTTAATTTCAAAGTTTTCAATAAATTTTCAAGAACATTTATAAATTATAAACTTAATCAATTTTTCACATTGAAAATTTTTGTTATCAATGATTTTAATATCTTAGTTCTTTTTTTTAAATTTTATATTTTTAAAAGATATTAACAATTGATAATATGGTTATTTTTGGTATATACCATCCAAACCGAATGAATGTGATATTATAAAAACCATAGGATTTGAATATGGTTTGATTTATAACCGATTAAACTGAAACATGTAAATATGTATATATTTATAACGACGCATGAATATCTATTTGTTACATGAGTTGAACTATAATTATAATTTGTAAATAGCTAACAATTTATTACAATTGAGACATCTTATTTTGATCTTTTGCTTTTTTAACAGTAACAAAATTGAAGTAAAGATTATAAAGTTGATGGACAACAATTAGTTGAGATTCTTTACAACTTTTTTTTATTTAAACAAACAGAGTTGTGTTCAATCGAAGACATATTGGTTTGATGAACACTAACTATGGAAGAATATAAAAAAATTTCTTTCATGCTTCTGTTTTATTTTTTATTTTTATTTTCAAAATTTAGTGTTTTGATATTAATTCTAGATTTGATCATTTTATTAGATGATAGAAGCTTTTTTTTTTTGTTCTTTTATTTAAATATATAATATTTTTTTAATAAATGACTCTGTGACAATATGACTCTAAATATGATCATATTATATATTTGTATAATATATAATATGATCTCAAACTAAATAATTATGATTTTTGGTATAAAATTGAATAAACTGAAAACCGATGGTATATAAACCAAATCAAACTGAAGTACATATAGATTTAGAGTAGTTGTTATATTTTAATGATCGGAATACCAAAAAATCGAGCCGAACCGAAACCCGATATCCGGATTGAACACCTCTAATCCGAATGAAACCGAACTATTGTTTCCTTTTTCAAAATATAATAGAAATAATAGCTTCATCCCGCGCAAGGCGCGGGTCTTATCCTAGTTCATCTAGTATTAGGTGTTCTGCCTACACTTGCAAGCATAATAGTTTTTAATAAATACATTATCAATTGAAAGAAAATTAAAATAAATTAATATTCATACATTCAGAATATTTTTAAAAAAACAATAAACTCTTTATATATAAAAATTTTTATTGTAACATAAATTTTTTTTATCACGTAACATAAATTTTAGAACACTAATGTTTTTGAAATATTTAATAATAAATTAAATATTACTTTTTATATATGACAAAAGATTTCAATAAAATAAATTTTATTCTTTTGCATAAAATAAAATTGAAAACATTAATATATGCAGTAATATTATATAATATATATATAGGGATTTATCTATGTTTATTAGCTTTTACTAGAGATGGTTTGTATCTTAGTATAAAAATTATTAATTAACTATTACTTGTAATATAATCATTTTGTTTATTCATAAAACAAAGAAAATACGACACGTAGTGTTATCTATATATAATATTCGGTAACACAATACACCTTAATATGCCACAAACATCAGAAACTTTGACTAGTATCGTTATTATTTTCGTTGATAAAAATGTAGTTATATTATAAATATTATTTGAGCTCAGTGTAGATAAAAAAATCAGGGACAAGTATAGTAGCATTTGCATTCAATAGCTCCTTTGCCTATCGGTTGGCACCTACCCCGCCCCTTCCTCTTTGTGTCACATTCGGCTGTACAATCCTTGACATTACATCTTCCAGTCTTGTTGGGGTATGCCTCAATACACGGCTTTGTGGAGGTTGATCCTCCTTTCTGTGCAGCCGCCATTACTCCTATAATTATAGTAATTAAAATATAACCTTATTTACTATTTAAAATAACAATATTAACTTTTTGTAAAGTATATGCTTAGAGAGTATTTTTGTATTTTTATAGAAAATTTGAAAGTCTATACATCGTTTTTCTTAATCATTGAGTATTCTCGGAAAACTACTAAACTCAGTATTATAGAACTAGATATACAATTTATATAAGTAAATATAATAATATTGTATTGGAATACCTTTATTCTAAAATATAAATACAAACCAAGTAGGATTGAAAATGTAAATACAAACCGAGTAGAAGAACTGTGAGTATAACAGAACCAGTAACCGAAGATCGAAAAGTAGTTTTCATCTTAGATAATAAACCAATGGTGTTTTAGAAAATCAGAAAGATAGAGAATTATATTTATAGATGAATCACATACTAAAACGTATCTATTTTAAGGTGTGTATTTTTTCTAAAAGTCCGATATAAAAGGATCTAGTTAAGATTCACTTTGACCTAGAAATATATCTAATTTAAGGTAGGGAATGAAACATAATAAGAATAATATCTGAGAAACCCTGAAATTAAACTACAATAATGTGGAGGTATTAAATCACATGTTTCAATCTGGCTGAAATAAATTTGCATGCCTAACAACAAGAAATCAACACAATAATAACACAAAAGTTTTTCTAAAAATTGACAACTCAGGTTTTTAGAAACACGTGAAAGTGACAATAAATGAAAAAGTTAAAAAAAAAAAAACAATACATACATTTTGGTTGTAGACATCTGATATAATATTCACACATAAACTTACATCACGATAACAACAAGGCATCAATCCATTAAACAACATATTGATAGCAATCTCCAACATACTCAAAATCACCATCCTTGCTTGAAGATCGCTCTTGAGTCCTGGACCACTTTGCTTCCCCGTGAAGATCATGTCGTTTCTGTAAGAGATCTAGATGTCTCGCCAGCAAAAAAATTGTGTCGATGGTGGCACGGCCGACACTTGAAATTAACCATCGTCTTCAAGATATCTCTGGGGAGATTACGACTGATCAAATGAAAATTTCTTAAATTCACTAGTAAATTGACCTCATTGGTGGATGTCAATTCTGATCCTGAACTGGTCATGGTTAAGGATGGGTTTCTGTGTCGGGTTCGGCTGATAAAGTTGTTAGGTTATCGAACATTGAGAAGAGAAAGGTGACGTTAATCGTGAACTTGACCATTGTTAAGGAAGTAAGTACATCCCATAAGTAAGTTTAGACTAAAAAATAAGTGACTGAACAAGATATTCACTGCAGTTAGTATTTGTATTTATGTACTCTATTGTCATTAGAAAATTCAAATCTTAAGTTCTTAGAACAAGAACCAACAGTTCAATTCTGTTGCTCGGGCATTATGTAGGCCATAAAAATGATGAAAAGTGTTTTATATAAAAAAGATTAGGAGTGGAAAAAAAATTAAAGAGTTGTGAAGAATGTTGAGGATCTGATGAATATCCCCATGAAATTTATTTGAGTGTAGTTGAAGCTGTTTTTTTCATGTTTGTTTATAGCTCTGAACAAATGTTGGATGAGTCTAGTTATTGTCTCTATCTAGGATTTGCATTGACCATATTACTTCATAAAATAGTTCCATTTTCTTGAATGAGAAGAAGTCTATGACCAAAAATTCAAACGATGAAACTGAACGCAATCAAAGTAAATTCAGCCTTACTTAGAAAACTCAAATGATCTTTTGTCACAGTAAAAATAACAATTCTCTCTTCTGTATACAAATCACGATCCATATTCCATAGTCTTCAATTTTCAAATCAAATCAAATCAAATCAAATCATCAGCCCCCTTTAGCCATAACCAATTTATACCCTAAAATCCCGATGAAAACGGGGGTTAATAATTTGAGAAATAATACAAAAATAACCAAATTGAGATCGGCAAAAACCTAGATCAATCTCAAACAACATCGTCCTTCTTAGGCTTGCGATAATTCTCTTCGATATGCTTAGCGATGACAAGACCAGTGTTTGTGAGCTTCTTAATATCTGGAACGTTGTAATTCTGCGCCACGTATACGCCGTAAGCCGTTCCCATCGTGAACACGAAGCAGGTCTTGATTATCCCCATCCCCGCCTCTCTCTCTCTCTCTCTCTCTCTACACACTTCTTTTCAGGTCGTACGATGTAGCAGTATCCCTATTTGGACTTGTACATGTAACTTTAATGGGTCTTCATTAGAATTAATGGGCCTCAAATCTAATTAAAACTTGACATCTTTATCTCCGATTAGGGGTAAATATGTAAATATTAGTTGGCATATCCGAGTTTTCTTTATCTTTTTAAGGCAGCATTTGGTACAAAGCTCCCACGTACACCGTCATTAAGATCGACGGTTTAGATTTCTCCTTTGGTATTTATAAATATATATATATCGTCAGATTCTCGTCTAGGCATCCACGTCAGCCGATGAGTTTAGATGTTACCATGCTCTCATCTGTATACAATCTTTTATCCTTATCAAGTAATTTTTTAAATGGTTAGCAGAATTTTAGTAGGTTGCTTAATTTGCGTTTATTCGGTTTGTTAATTGTGTTGGTTGTTATCTTCAAGGATAGCTCTGGGAAAGTAGTGTGTGTGTTTGATCGCCCAAAAGGCTTCGTCTCTCTCTTACAACAGGTTCGGTCATGGAGCTTTTTCTTTTGATCTTGTACTTTGTTTAAGATTTTACTTTAAAGGTTGTGTTTCTTAAGCTGATCAATCGATTTAGGTTTTAGGAGAGTCTCTCTTTGTCTCTTGTGACAAGAATTTTTTGTTAATTTTCTTGGGATTTAAGACATGATTGACTGGTAGACAGATTAAATCTGCTGTTTTTTTTGTACGTGTATCTCGGTTTGGTTCGTGTGTGGGACTTTCTTTTGTTTTGAAGGTTGTCTGATTGAGGTTGTTAATGTGTATGTAGGCTTATAAGGAATAATGGCGAAAAGCTCGTTCAAGGAAGAGCATGACCTGGGTTTGGTTCCTACTTTTTGTTCTTAGTCTAGTGTTTGATTCTCAAGAGAACTTGCTTTTTTGAATCTAATGATGATTTTGTTTCTTTTTTCTTTCTTTCTGAACCTTCAGAGAAGAGAAGTGCAGAGGCTGCTAGGATTAGAGAGAAGTATCCAGATAGAATTCCGGTGAGAGCTCTGTTTTTACCGTGAACATACGTCATTAGCATATTGTCTCCTTTTCGTATTAGGAGTTAGGACTGATCCTTTGTTTAGCACCGAGTTTATGCAGCTTAAGTGTTGTTGTGTTTCATCCCCTTAGTCGTTTTGTCTATGTGATCATAGACTTATCATATCTTTGCCGATAGTTCTGTAGATAGCATCTGGCTTTAAATGTACTCCCATCTAGTAGTTGGTTATCAAGTTATTGACATCTGATTAGCGTTATGCTTTTGATGTATGTATATTTGCACTGTGACTGTATCAAGTACTGCATGGAGTTTTAATTCGAAAGCTTGAGTTTTAACAAGTGCTGCTTGGTGACGGTTGCGAGTTAATGGGTTGATTTGCATAGTTCATAATGAGAACCGTTTAATGTTTTTATATGGTTAAAAGTGACACTTGAGTGATGATCGTCACACTTTTTTTGTATATGTGTGGGATACAGGTGATTGTTGAGAAGGGTGAGAAGAGTGATATACCAACCATCGACAAGAAAAAGTAAGCATATCGATTACTGTAATCAATGTACATCTCATTTAGACCTGACTTGTGATTGACAACTAAGCTTTTTTTCCTGGATTTTGAAACTTGCAGGTATCTAGTCCCAGCTGATTTGACAGTGGGGCAGTTCGTGTATGTCATTCGCAAAAGAATCAAACTGAGTGCTGAAAAGGCTATCTTTATCTTTGTGGACAATGTTCTTCCTCCAACAGGTAACATCTACTTACTGTATATACAAGACTTTCTTCTTCTCAAAACAAGCAAAAAGAGACACTTTGATGATACCTTTGCAGGTGCATTAATGTCTGCTGTGTACGAAGAGAAAAAGGATGATGATGGGTTCCTCTATGTCACTTACAGTGGAGAAAACACATTTGGGTCTCCATAGATCTATTACTGGATACTTCGTTTCTCTATTATCTATTTCGCCGAGTATTTCATATCTCTTCTTATTAGTTATCTAAGTAAGCACCATATGTACTACTTGTCTAAGAACTTTCAGATGGTCGTTAATGTGTACAGAGAACATAAAAATAATGTATATAAATCTCAAAACCTACTTTCTGTTAATCGTTACAACTTGGTTTGTGTTTTTGATTGAGCCGACATCACATGATACCGTGATGTGCCATTGTAATTACAGAGGCAAAAAAAAGTCTATAAGTCCAACTAGAGATAGAACAGCAATGGCCGGTTATGGTAGGAAAGGTCCCACATTGTCGTTGACGGAGTGAGGAGGAGACGGTCGGACCATGTTGCCTTGTTCTTCTCTACTAACTCTTGATTTTTGTTTCTTCATGTTTATTTGTCAAATCGTTAAAGCTCGTTCGGTTTATGTATTTTATGAATGATCCTCAAAGATTCTCGCATTCAAGGCTTTCCAACCAGTCACGTGGAACATGAGACACAGGTTATGTCTTTAGGAAAAGCTATAGTTGTTGCTTTGAACACCGATGTGAAAGTTGTCTAAACACATCTCATCATATATATACAAAGTAGTTAGCTGAATAGATGTGGATGTGATCATGTTAAATACGTCTTATGGTGTCATGATAAGAAGATTATTGTCCAGATTATTGTGTGTTTTTAATCTGAATAAACTGCCGTTGAAATTGTAATGGTTTGCTAATGGAGGAAGGAAAAAATGAGAGATTGACCCCACATGAAGACTCTCAAGTCGACAAAAGGTTTGGCCGATCAAGACACCGATTATACATACGATAGATACGTATATTGAATCAGATATGAATGAGAAAATTTATTTTGACAAAATGAACAAAAGGGAAGGTAAAAGAACAAGAGAGGAACAAGAGCATGTTATGGTAATGAAGGACCCCCTATCTGCATTCAATGCTTGTCTTACTCTCTTTACTCTCTCCATTAACTTTCTTCCGACTACAAATACTCCTCCTTCCCTCTTCTCTTCTCTTACACTTCAGAAACATTTCAAATCACATTCTTCTTACCACAGTATATATATAAGTATTTGAAGTATGAAAAGAGAGGTCATGTCTTGGTCTATGAGGAGTGGATTCGCAGTGGTGTTCTGTTTCATTCTTCTGCTTCTGTCAACCAATGTTGGATGTGTCAATGCTCGTCGTCTAGGTCTCCACAAGCATCATCACAAGATTCACAAGGCTGTTTCTTTGGTACAAGACGTTGTCAATGGTGGAGGAAAGAAGAGGGTACTAGGTGGAGTCGAGACGGGTGGAGAAGTTGTGGTTATGGATTATCCTCAGCCTCATCGTAAGCCTCCCATCCACAACGAGAAGGCTTAAACTACTTGATGTCTATACATCATATGATCAACACTGTTATATGCATATGCATTCGCCATGATGGTGGTTGTAATAACACTTTTGAACTATACTCATTACCAATTTCTTTTGTTTGTTCTCTCTTTCTCTGTTGTAAAAAACAAACAAGCTGCACCTCTTCCTAATAATATAGTACTATATATCCATGCCCAAATGTAGCATTTCATATATATATAATATATCCAATAAATGAACTTATGGTTCTCTGAGCATCAATCTCGGAATGTTCGGGTAGGGATCGATGGGACATGTTTGGGTCAGATCGATGATAATTGGGTTGGACTGCGTGGATCGTGGTGTCTGATACCGTATTAAGCTAGATGGGCTTCCAACCTAAAACCAATTGGTGATAAGTGGATTGGCCTATCTATCTTATATATTAGAATCCCTTCCAACAACCGATGTGAGATCTTTATCCCTAATATTAAGATGATTTTGAGAGAATGATGTGTCACAGTAAGACGAATAGTGTGTTGTCTGAAGTGGGCCACTTCTGCATAAGGAAAGGAGGAATAACATGATCTACACATCAATGCAGTAGAGTACAAGCCTAAGATTATTTATGCACATTCGACGACATTTAAGTCTCTCTGCCCATTACCAACTCTAGTATTTGCAGTTCAAAGAAGGCATGGGACTGTAGAAAGAAAAAGAGGTTCTTGTTTTTCACAATCAATGGGGAAAATACTAAAGACAATAAGTGGGACAAACAGTAGCTAGCTCACAAGAAAAAAAAAACTTTATCTATCAAATGTTAATATGTACTACACCTCTGTTACAAACTTAAAGAAAGAACCAAGACAAAAAAAAAGGACTAGCTGTGACACCTTTCGGGTCTCTGTGACAATTAGGACAGGCAAATAAACTGTAATGTCTGGGAAAGGCTTGGCAAACACGTGTGTGTGAAAGGGAAAATTCTACTCTATGTAACTATTTTTATGAACACAAGAAAACAGCAGAAAACTGTTTTGTCTAGGAGAAGAAAACACAAGTGGGTAGAGGTTACTCTCATGCTACTCCCCATGTATTTTACACATGTATTGTAGCATCAATGAGCAAGCACGAAGAGATGATCACTAGAGCATTGACAAATGATACATGATGAAGAGAAAGTGGGGTTTGAAAACAAAACTTACCAATACAGTCCGACTCTGCATCATCTCACGCCACGTGGGATGAATCCATTTTATCGGTGTAAAAAGACAATAGACTTGTCACCGTGTAAAGACCAATCAGTTCTCCGTAAATTTCTTGAGTAAAGACAATATGTTTCATTTTTGAGATAAATAAGAGATCTGTGTTAGTTTTTAGTTTATATCTTAGTTCGAGTATGATATGATATAATACATGTGGTTAAAACCCCAGATCTAGAAATAGCTGCCATAACTGGTATTATAACATTGTATCCATCTCGGATTCTGGATACTTTGCAAACTTAGCTTCCATCTTTTGATACAATAATTTCAAATCTTCATCAGCAAATATGGGCCCGTTTAGTGATCTGCCAATAATCACTTCACTAGTCCACAATGAGTCTTCAGCAGCACGTTAAGGGGGTCAGCCAACGTTGACTCTACAACATGTTTACGTATTTCACGCCACGTGCATGAATGAATCTAGGTATCAAATCTGGTCGGTGGAAAAACATAAATTTCTGGAAGTATCTGACCAAATCGGTCTATAAAAATCACCAAAACCAAACGGTACGGTTAAGAAGACTGAAGAAAGCAAAAAAAAAAAAAACACAATATGATGAAGTCTTTGATTTGTCTCTCCTTCATTCTCCTCTCTCTCATCTCCATCACTGAAGGGTTTCACGGAAAGAGTGTGCGAAACAGAGATGTCTGGTCTCCAAAGATTAAAGAGGCCGCCAAGTATGCGATTGATGAGCATAACTCGGAATCTAATGATAATCTGGTGCTCGTGAGGATCGTCCAGGGGAAGATGCAAGTGCACTCCGCGATAGTATACGATCTGATCATCGAGGCGAAGGATGAAAGTGGTGTGACCAAGAACTACAAGGCCGTCGTGATGGAATCTGAGAGGGATAAGATCCTTTATTCATTTAATGCGGTGTAGATCGAGATATCATCATTTGAGTCTTGTCATTATATATGTTTGTTGTGTTGTTGTTTTTGTTGTTTTGGAATAAAAACTGAACTGGAGATATGTTTTTTTTTTTTTTCTAAAAGTTTCTGTAAAAGTTATGTGTTATGTGGATCTCTAGTTCGAGAGTGACTGTATTCTATACAAGACTAAATGTACTATATACATAGGCTCTGTATACTTCAATGTGATCATTCTTTGTTGGCTATAGAGAGCAATGAAAGGGTGAATAACTGACTGATGCAAAATGAGAGAACCTTGAGATATTGACATATACATTAATATTGAGTCCAAATGCACATGCTATTATTGTGTTTTGGCAAAATGAACAGACTATTATATCTTGTTCACGTTCTAAGATCCGTAATTTATGCTGTATCATATAACAAGTACTATATGTATATGAGGATCACAGACAGAAGAAGTGATGTTTTTTTTTTTTTTTTTTAAAAGAAGTGTTAATAAACTAATGGTCAAAGCCCATTCAAACATTCATTCTTGTTAGAAACCCATTGGACCAATACAGCAAACTTAATTAGGCTTAAATTGAACGAGCCTTCTTCTTTCCTACTACATGGTTTTGTTTATTTTTTGTATGTTATTATTAGTTTTTTAGTTTTTGGAAACAAATCCAAGTTCTGAAGCTGTTTAGATTTGTATTGAAGTAATAAAATATATAATATGAATTTTTATCTGTGTATTTAGAAAATCAAATTTAAAATTTGCAACATCTGATTTAATTCGCTTTAACTAGGAATAGATAACAAACAAAGAAAACTAATAAATCAATTTTTCGTTGGTTAAAAACCTGGAATGCTTAATTTATTGCGAAAGTTTACACATCTAAAGTTTATTTTTATCCTTTATCTAAAGTGGAGTGGTTTACTTGGAATAAAATCGAAGTAGTTTATTTGAAGTGAAAGGCTAATCATGATATAAGGAAAATTAATCGTGCGTGGTCCCCTTCATTATTACAATATTTAATTTGCATTCTCTTTATTAGGTCAATCTTCCATCCCATCTCTATACTTCACCTTTTCTACATAATTTAAGTTTGTTTAATTATTCTAAACCCACTTAAGTGTTTTGTTTAGTTATTTTATGCAGGACACACGTGCGAATTCCAATTCGACGCAGATTGTAAAAAAAAATTAACACGAAAAAAATTATGATGTTTGAAATGGAAAACACTTTATATGATACTATCATTTATATCCCTTAATCCTTAAAACCGCCACATTCTTTCTGGCTGTTCGAATGAAGACACGCATGTAGTTTTTAAACCAAACTTTGTAATCATTATTATGCATTCAAAATGAGAATGGATCCACCTTGTCTTGTATCTTTGGCGGCATGCTTTCTTTTTTCTTCCTCATTAGTGAGTTAGTGATGATGATGATGACTTTTGTATGGTGCTATATTTAGTTGGATTAATGTTGAATTTTGATTTCTATTATTGGGATTGGTAATTTGAATAATCAGCAAAACGAGTAAACTATATGGAAATATAATGGTTTAAGAAACATTATTTACACGTGTGGGTAATAAGGATATGACCATACAAAAAAGTTGACTAATAATACGAACAGCATGGCGTCATATGAATGTACTCCCACCCTTTCTAAATAAGTTGAGATGTCCTTTTTATTTCTTCTACGCCACATTTTATCCAAAACTATATAAAAATAATATGTCTTCTCCATAATTGAACTATAAGACATTTGAGGATATTTCTTTATCTAACCAATTTGTGGAATAGTGATGGCCCGTTGAATTTCTTCTCACAAATTTTTGTTTTATTAACCATTAACTAATAGCTCATGCAAAAATACCATAACTAAAGTTGTTTTACTCTAATTTCCTTATAAAATGAGATATTGAATCGTGGATATGATGACCACCTCGTATGAACTGAATAGCAAAAAGTATTGACAGAAGCTTCAAGCTGAGCCTCTCCGAGAACATTAAATAAATATATAAAAACAAGAAAAGTGCTAATTAAAAAGTATTGGTGCTTAGTTCTTTTTAATATACTAAATAACTGCTTTTGTATTATGATCCAATCTTTATTTGGTCCGGAGAAAAAGAGCAACACGGTTCGAACAAAGTGAGTAACGCGTAGCTGCTGGTGAATCAGGACCGTTAGACTTTTTGATTGAATTATTGTATGCAAATTTAACCATGGTAGTTTGGTGTTGTTTTTCTAGATGGGGTTTTAGATGGTTTAGTGATTCATAATTAGGGATCTTGTCAGTATAAGAACATCTCTAACTTCATTATATAATTTACTGCAGACTAAAATGAAAAATATAATATAATCATGAATAAGCAAAAATAAAAAAATATATAAGTAATATTTTTTTGTTTGTTCATGATTTTATTTTTTATTTTATTTAACAGGAAATTATATAATAGAACTGAAGATACTAAAAAGGTATACGATAAAACTCGAAAAATAATCATTACTCTTGTCTCGCCGCGGTGCAGATTAGAAAAATTTTAATTATTTTATACATGGGTTTAGATTGGTTAAATTTAATTGTTAATATTTGTAAATCCGTAATTTAAAATTTCAAAAGAAATTTCATTAAAAATATTTTTAGACTAAAATAAGAAAATTTAGAAAAAACTAACTATAGATATATAATTTGTATTATAAATATATAAAATAAATATTTAAGTTATTATTAATATTATTGGGTTTCCCTGGTAAAATTATGTTGAAACATTTAAGTGTATAATTTTTTCTATTACAATTGTGCATGTCTAAATTTTTAACAAAAAAAAATACTCAAAATTAGCGGGTCAAATGGGACGGGTTTGAATTTGACTCAAGATCGCTGGCGGACGATTTAAGCATATTGGTATGAAACTGAATCCAATTTTTGTAGATATCCAAAGTTTTGTTACCATTGAAAATTTAGGAATCTATAGATGTTCCAATCAAGATCCAATATTTTCTAAAAATTACAGAAAAAATAATATATATTTTGTTTATAAAGGTTTTAAAATATTTATGATTTTGACTAATAATATAATATAAATTACACACAGAATTAGTTATATATAGAAAATATTAAAGTGTTATTTTATTGCAAATTTATAGTTTAAATTTATTTATTATCTTTGGTTTTATAAAAATTCAAAAACGTATTATGTGGATGAAAATTTTCATATATCCTAGTTTTAAGATTCCATTAATATTTTAATATCAAATTATTTTCATTTTTATTTTAATAATTAATTTTTTCAAAACTGAGCTAATAACTTAGAAAATACAGTATTACACTGGAATTATCTATTATAAACCGAATCAAATAATTATAGTCATATAACTCATAAATTAAAATGTTTATTTGAATCATATTTGTATCAAACCAAAAATAAATCATATTTAAATTAATTATTTTTATTACCAAATATATTAAAATGTAAACATAATTAGAATATGTAAATTTTATTTATCAATTAAAATACTAGTCCTACTTAAAGTAAAATACTGAAAACTAAAATAACTGACGTCATTAGTTATGTTTTAAAATTGAACAAATTCGAACTGTTACATAAATACCTATAATGTTCCTTCCCATGGTATAAATCTATATCATGTGATCTTTCAATTAAATATATATACGCGTAGACAATTATGTGCAGATTGATGTACATACATACACCCAACTTTGCAGAAAACGACAATGATGGACATCACTTAGAAAATTTAAGTTACTAAAAACGACAGAATTGGTCTATTTAGAGTTTTAATTAATCACCAATTGGGAATATTAATAATTTACGAATTACGTAGTCTGTATAAGATATAGTATTTGTCTATTTTGGTCGCCGTAATAAGGATATACCTACTCTATCTCTACGGCTGTCTACACGATTGTTAGAGTGGGGACAAACATAATCTTTACAATCGCATTAATTTAATTACATTGTTAAATATTTTAGATTCTAGTTGGGGTGTTGAACAACTCACCATGCTGTATAATTACACAGCACGTTACTTTTATAATGATCACAATGGGATAGAGATACTTTGCCTCCGAAGAAATTCAGATTAATTTGCTAAAACACTTAAAATAAAACCTTTTTTTGACTAACTCAAAATAAAACCTTTGAGAGACAAAATAGCATGTGTTTTATTTGTTGATACGTCGTTTTGGCGACTGATTATTAGTATTTAATTAATCGTACGTGCACTTGCTTTGTTCTTGAATCTTGACTTCGAAAAATATAATACTCGCGTTGAATTAAGTTGATATTTACTCAGTTGATCTATGAACATATTAACGGACCGGTTAAGAATGTCAAAGTATAGATAAAAGGCTTCATTACAAAATATTCGCTCGTCAAACCAAACATTTCAGAATACATCCGTTAGTCCCATTCGTTCTGTGAAAAAACTATATCTGTTGCTAACACAATAGTTGCTCATATGACCGTTTGGTTTACTCGGGTTAGATTTTTACAAGTGCAGATATATTTCACAAAACAAAGACATAGTTTTGGGCACAACAATAACGTTAATTACAACAAAGAAAGATAGGAAAAATGACAAGTATTTATAAAAAGAAGAAGAAGATGACAGCAGTAACGATCTACAAACCTGCTGTTTATCTTATATATGTTCCTCTTTAGCAACCAGGTTTTATGTTTGAGTATCTCCAATATATCTCTATACTTCTTGTAAAACACAAGAACTCTTTTATATAAATGGTCTTGCTCTAATATATACTTATAGGATCTTCATTCTTAGAAAAATATAAATTAATGCTAAATATTAAAGTAAAAGATAACATTTTTTATATTTTATATAAAATAAAAAGTTCTATAATAGAATTACATGTCGAAGTAAAACACATATATTTCTCTGTTACAAATAATCCATGTTTCAGAAAAAACGATGTTTATAAAAGGTATATTTTTACATTTTGAATACACTTTTTACTAAGTAATAATGGTAACTATAAATTTCAACAAAATGATTGTGTTTATTGCATTTCTATTAGCTAAAAATATGGCAAACAAGTAAACATAAAAAAAATATTTATAATCAAAATTTAATATATTTATAAATATGTGTGAAAAATATAAAACTATTATCTTTTTAAAACGAAAGAAGTATATAATCTCTATTTTAATGAAAATTTATATGCAGGTTGAAGATGCTCTAGTCATGACAACGTTACATATGGATGTGTCTTAAATCTCTGTGCATCAATAAAAGCTTAGTATTTGGACGTCGAATACGAGTGTAGTAGACGCTATCAAAGTTGACATCTGGGAGGTGCGGGGACCGCATGCCTCCAGGTACGAAATACCTTTTCGATTTAAGAAAATTTACTTTTTATAAATAAAAATATATTGCTATAGGGAAAAGGAAATCGAATTTTCAAACTACAATAAATATGAGTCTAAAGAATTGTAAAATTATTCATTTATACAATAATATATAAACCCTAAAATGAGTATTTGCCTCAATTAGTGTGCTTTTTTTTTCCGAGTTTATTCTCGTTTGTTCACAAGAGACCATCAATGAAGTTCTGAGCATACAACTTATATGACAATAATATCTAGCCATAATATACAACCTGATAATAAGTAAGTGTCACATGTTATTGATCTGACATTTAAAGATTTCTAATACATATAATTTGCAATACCATATAATTTTTAAGATAATCTTTTATTTCATTTACAGAGTAAAAAATAAAATTATGTTGACAAAACTATTTTGAAATTCGTTTTAGAATAGAAATAGATGAAATTAAAAAAAAAGATCGTTAGTAATAAGTGAGCCTTTTGGAGTATTTCATCAACACAAAATAGTATAATATAATTATATGCTGTTAACTTTTTAAATAAAAGAAAATCACCCTACGAAAACAATTTTTTAAGAGTCTCTATAATTTTTTTCTGGGAATATAGAGATGTTTCAAATATTGGACTTTTCTCATTCTCTCTCATCTCTATTTGATTTTTTCCATTATTTATTTGATTGAGAAATTTGATGAGATATGCTGTCTACAGTGAAGCTATAAACCTAAACCGACTTCAACCAATTATAAATTTGCAATACTGAAAAACTAAACCAAGGCATTGGGCGTATCTATGTGGACTGAGGACGGTTTCGATGACCTGTGAACAACCTGTTCATTCAAAGCTTTATGAACCGTAAGATATCTAATCCAACGGTCGAAAACCTTTCTCTTCCTCAGCCGCTCATAACTCAACCCCATCGGCATCGTATCGGAATTACCAAAAAAGCCAGCTATCCCCACGTGTCCTGTGGCGTCGACTCCTCTATTCACAAGGACACTAATGTAAATTAACCAGATCTCTCCTTCACCTCAAAGTCACAGCCACATGGCTTCCGAGACAGACATGCAACCAATTCTCAATCGTCGATTTTAAATAAACCCAGCTCCAGATCTCTCCACGTGTCACCGTGATACTGGAAAACATCACAGTCCCGTGAGTACATACTCACAACAGCTTTTAAAACCATCTCATCCTCTTCTTCCTCAAAGCCTTTCTCTTTAACCTCTCACCATGAAACTTCAGACAAACTAAAAAACACAAAAACAAAACTAAAACTCGTGTTTTTTCAGATCTTTTAACAAAAGATGGTGTCAGTGGAAGATCCGTTACCTCACTCGAACTCAACCCGGTTCCCGTTAACAACCGACTTCTACGGCTCATCATCTCCCTCTGCTGCCAAGATCCACCGTCAAGTCGGCAGATCGATGAGAACAGTGAGATCCAACTTCTACCAAAGCGGAGACCAATCTTGCTCCTTCGTCACCGACAAATCTGGCTACGCCTCGGAGTATCTCTCCGACTCCGTCGTCGACGCGAGACTCGGCGAGCTCGCGTTAAAGAACAGTAACTCACTCCACTCAGTCTCCTCCTCTTCCAAAGAAGAAGCGTTTCTCGACATCTCTCAGGCGTTTAGTGACTTCTCCGCTTGTAGCAGCGATATATCCGGGGAGCTTCACCGTCTCGCTTGCTTACCGTCTCCAGGGACGGAGAGAGGAGTTGGAGAAAGAGAAGAAGAAGAAGATGAAGAAGAGCCGTGTCTAGGGTTTCTGGAGAGGGAACACTTCTCCACGGAGATTATTGATTGTATTTCTCCGGAAGATCTTCAGCCTACGGTGAAGTTATGTATCGACGGGCTGAGATCGTGTTCCGTTGCGATTAAACGTTCTGCAGCGGCGAAGCTGAGGCTTTTGGCTAAGAATAGAGCGGATAACCGTGTGTTGATTGGAGAGTCTGGAGCTATTCAAGGTTTGATTCCGCTGCTTCGTTGTAACGACCCGTGGACGCAGGAGCATGCTGTTACAGCTCTGTTGAATCTTTCTTTACACGACCAGAACAAGGCTGTTATTGCAGCGGGGGGAGCGATTAAGTCTCTTGTGTGGGTGCTCAAGACAGGGACGGAGACTTCTAAGCAGAACGCTGCTTGCGCGTTGCTTAGTCTTGCTCTGGTTGAGGAGAACAAGAACTCTATTGGAGCTTGCGGCGCGATTCCGCCGCTTGTTTCTTTGCTGTTGAACGGGTCTTGTAGAGGGAAGAAGGATGCGTTGACGACGCTTTACAAGCTTTGCACGCTTCAGCAGAACAAGGAGAGAGCGGTTACTGCGGGGGCGGTGAAGCCTTTGGTGGATCTTGTGGCGGAGGAAGGGACTGGGATGGCGGAGAAGGCGATGGTGGTTTTGAGCAGCCTTGCGGCGATTGAGGAAGGTAGGGAGGCGATTGTTGAAGAAGGTGGGATTGTTGCGCTTGTGGAGGCTATTGAGGATGGTTCGGTGAAAGGGAAAGAGTTTGCGGTTTTGACGTTGTTGCAGCTTTGTGGTGATAATGTTAGGAACCGTGGGTTGCTTGTGAGGGAAGGTGCTATTCCTCCTCTTGTTGGTCTTTCTCAGAGCAGCAGCGTCAGCGTCAGAGCTAAACGCAAGGTTGGTTACAAAACCACTTAAGATCTATGTTCCTTTGTTAGATCTAGTTTTTGTTTTACTTGTATAAGCATTTTGATTGATGAATTGTGATTTATTTTGTATTGTGTAGGCAGAAAAGCTTTTGGGGTATCTAAGGGAGCCAAGGAAGGAGGGAAGTTCATCATCAAGCCCTTGTAATGGATTTTGAATGGTTCCCTTGAATGAAACCTTATATGGACGTTTCCATCAGTCTAGTATGTTGTATATAGTGAGTGTATGTTTGGTGGTTTTGTATAACATCTTTTATTATGTAGACTATTAAAAGGAAGATCAAATGAGTCCTCAGCAAACGTTTTGACTGATTTTTGATCTTTTCTTTGTATTGATGATGTTAAGCTAGTAGTTTTTATGTGAGTGCTATTTGGATTACAAGTCTAGCATTCAGGTTTTTTTTGGTTGGTGTGAGGAGTGAAATTTGCTGATTTTTAAGGCAAAAAGCTTGTAGCTTTGTCGCAAAATGCTTGTTCAAATGTTTAAGAGCAAAGCAATTTTAATCAATGTATTTTGTTCAATTATTTTTATCTCTTATCTGAATCAATTATTGTTTGGATCTTTGAGTGTTGTTTGTGGATCCGTGTCTGTGTATGTGGACAAACGGTGGATATGGTACAAGATTTTTGTTGCTGGCACCGCTGTAGTGTCTTGTCTTACAATAGTTATGTTTAGCGTTGAAACAGTAGTTTGGCCCACTACATTATACAATGATAGTTATGCCCTTGTCTCAAAAGAATAACATTTTCACTTATATTAAAAGTTTGATGCTTTCGGTTCACAAAGTTGTCTGCCTTATTCATCCACATATGCTTTTGCAAAACCCTTTTGGGATAGTTGAGGTCAAACTACATAGGGTTCTTGATACGTTGACAAAAGAAAAGAGAGTTCTTGAATACGTATTTTTTCATAGAATCTAGAAACTTGAATTGGTTGCAATAATAAAAAGAAACAGGGAACACAACTTCATCTTAAGCTGTATCAACGTCTTTGGCCTTGTTCTTCCGCCGCAAGAGACTAGGCTTGAAGCCAACCTCAAGCAACTTCTCAACCTCTTCAAACTGAAGTCCTTTAGTCTCAGGCACAAGCAACCAAATGAAGAAGAGACCAACCGTAGAGAAGCCAGCAAAGAGAAGGAACGTACCAGAGGAACCAAGAGCATGTGTGAGTGATAGAAAGCTCTCACTCACAATAAGATTAGAGACCCAGTTCGAGACAGCAGCTATCCCTCCTCCAAGACCTCTGTATCTAAGCGGGTAGATCTCAGAGTTGACAATCCACGGGACAGTACCCATCCCTGGCGCGTACACTATGATGTAAAGCCCCAAAAACACTATAGCCAAGAACCCAAACTTGCTTGGACATCCATCTTTGAAATACGTCCTTCCCCTTGAGTGACACGTCGCCTTCATGTCGTCAGATAACACCACGCATGCTCCTGGCGCGTACGGTTGGACGCCACTAGCGCAGAATCCACATTCTGACCTTAGACACTTCATGCAGTTCCACCTCGAGGGAGGCGCGTTTGGGACTGTGAAGGGAGCAAACGCTGGACAAGTAGCGTTTGGAGCAAACGTTGTTGACTCTGTTGGATCAATCTTGGGGGCGTGAATGGCTGCTTGTGAGAACACAGTCGCTAAGATGATAAGACAAGTTATGATACCAAACATAGAGATTATCATCAGCTTCCTTCTACCGTAACGGTCCACAAACATCATGCTCACAATCGAACCAATTGCGTTTAGACCAGAAGTTATCAAAGACAATGCCATCGCTGTACTGTTGGATGCGTAACCAGCGAACTGCACAATGGAAGGACTGTAGTACATCACGGTGTTGATCCCGACGAACTGTTGCGCCACTTGAACTGTCACACCGGCCGCTAGTCCACGTCGGACGACGGGGTTCGCAAATGCTCCTTTGAGTTTGGCTCCAAAACTATCTCCAATGATGGCCTCGTCCGCCTTCTCCGCCTCCACAGACTCTTTCAACGCTTCCATCTCCGCCTCCACTTCATCCTCCGGGTAGATCCTCTCCAAGATCGCTCTCGACTCCGCGACCCTGTCTTTTCGGTACAACCACCGTGGAGATTCCGGCAACGACAGCATTAAAACAAACTGAACTATCGCTGGTACTCCCGCAACTCCCAACATCCATCTCCATGTTCCCGGAGTCTGTTACATTTTGAAAAATATAAATAATATATAAGATAGATGAACCACTCCACTTATCACCCGAACATAAAAGTTTGAAGCTTTTACTTACCTTAACAAACGCGAGGTTGATGAGGTAAGAGAAGAACTGTCCACCAGTAATGAGAAGACCATTGGTACTAACAAGTGCACCTCTAATCCTCGCCGGAGAAGCTTCGGATATATAAAGCGGCGACGTCATCGAAGCCATACCAACGCCAAACCCAACAAAGATTCTTCCGACGATGATAACCCAAGGAGCAGGAGCAAAGGCCATGACGACCGCACCGATCAAGAAAAGTACATCAGCGATGAGAATAGACATCCTCCTTCCGAATCTATCGTTGATCCAACCTCCTACAGCTGCTCCGAATATGGCTCCGGCCACCGCCATGCTGACAATAGTCGACTGAAGCCATGTCTTCTTATCGACTTCGTCGAAGTCTTCTCTGATGAAGAGAAGAGCGCCGGAGATGACTCCGGTGTCGTAGCCGAAGAGAAGACCTCCGATTCCGGCGGAGAGAGCGAGACGCATGATGTAAGGGGTTTTCCATGTTGTTCTCCAACACTCTGTGAACTCTGTTCTGTCTGCTTTCGCTATACCTCCTTCCACCATCTCTTCTCAAAGAATGAGATCCTTTCTTTCTCACACTATGCCTGTTGTTATGATATTACACCGAAACTAGAAATGTTAAAATATATTCAAAGATTGATGAATATTGAAAAATTGGAATCTGGAATCATCGGTCATTAAAGCTTTTGAGATTTCTTTCTATTGAAACATATTATTATGTAGACCAAGACAAAATAAACCAATGAAGCGAAACAAAAACATAGTAACTGTAATACTAATAAGTTAAGAAACAAAAGTCAACCTTTGAAGTTTGAACAAGATTTCGACTCTCGCTATATGTTTAAAGTATTCAAAAATGTTACGGTGTTAAGCACACGGATGGAATTTAAAAACACTGTGAATGTGCCTCGGAGTCGGAGAGGATAGAAGATGAGTTTAATTGGATAAGATTAAGATTCTGGTAGCTGTAAAAACTAAATAATAGGACCTACATAACCTAATTTTCTTTGACTATCTACAAATAAGCCTTTCCAAAAGAATCTTAACAAACAAATGATACTAATACTAGTACTCCTATTATATTTTATAGATCAAAGAATTAATAATTATTGAATTATTGAAACGTAAATTTTTTTGACTGCACACAATCACACATTCTCAAAATTAATAGCTCTATTTATTCGGCAGAAGATAATTTTGGCTATCTTGTTACCCTAATTTCGCTTCAGATTATTTGATTATGTCTTTCAAAAGATTACCAAAATATATCCTTCTTAATATATTTAGCTGTTGACTCATGTATTATTGATGGTGCAAATCCAAAGGGTCTAACAATATCCTTAACAATAGTATATATTTTCATAATTAAAACTATAAAATAAATAGGAAACATGGAAGGAAGAAAAAGAGAGAGGATAGAAGAGATACATTTTCCAGAAGCTTTAAGAAACTTATGTGAAAATTATATTTTTCATCACTTTTATAAGTGAAATTTATTTTAATATACTATACTACCAATATTTTGGTAAGAGATTAGACTAATGTTAATGCTCTAATTAAGAATCCGAGTTCAATATAAATCCTACAACATATATTCAAACGAAAGTGAACTTAATAAAACAAAAATCAAAATATAATTTGATGGCGGTATTTTTACCAAATTACATCAGCAAGATCTAAACAGCAGAGGAAAATTTACCTGGTCAATAAACACTATGATTCTGATCTTCTTTCAACAATCTTCTGAAAGATGTTTTACGTTTTAGCTGATAGTTTACATACAAAACACTGAGAATGTTTTCAAAAACTCTAATCGTTTCTCCTTTTCTAAGAAAAAAAATCTTATAGATCTTTCATAATCTTAACAATCTTCCGAAAGATGTTTAGTGTTTTCAGCTAACAGTTACAAAAAACAATAGTAAGTTTTTTTTTTTTTTTGAACTGTAAAATAGTAAGTTAAGTCTCATATATTTATAGATGAGACACTCAGGTATGTTGAAATGCTAAATTTAGAAGTACAAAGATAAATATGTAATAGTGACAACTTGATGATATAACAAGTGGTCTAATATCCAGCAATTAAGGACTAACTTTAGGTAAACATCTTTGGATAAGAACGATTTCACTGGAAAAACGGTAATGTTTAGTGGTTGAGTTTTCTTCTTATTCCGGTAGTTAAGCAACTGTATCTCCTAATGCTGTGTAGTGTTGATAGTTATAAATTATATTATAGGTGGTTGGAACCTGGCTATTATTAGTATGTTTGAACAACAGATCGTTCAAAATCTCGACTTGCAAAAAGAAGTATTCGTCAAGGAACTTCATAACATTTATGTAAAAAAATTTGAAAAAAAAAATAGTTATACTGTTCTCTCTTATCATCCTCGCTCTTTTGCGTGTCTTCTATATTTGTTTTAAAAAAAACAGATGTCTCATAAACTTGAGTGTGAATATATGCAGTTTAGTATTTCTGGTTTACACTTTACAGCAAATTATGTGTGTTTGCTCTTTTGTTATACTGTTCTCTCTTATCATCCTCGCTCTTTTGCGTGTCTTCTATATTTGTTTAAAAATAAACAGATGTCTCAAAAACTTGCGTGTGAATATGTGCAGTTTAGTATTTCTGGTTTACACTTTACAGCAAATTATGTGTGTTTGCTCTTTATTCCATTTGTATGCTTTCTCATTCTACATCATGTCCTCTCCTTTTCATTTGTTGGTCATTATTTTATCATCTAAAATACATAACTGATGCGTTTCTGAAGTTTTCACGACCAATTCATTGTGCCTCTTCTCACAGATCTCCTTTCCCAGGATAATATTTTGTGTGTGCTTGGAGTAGGGTTGCAACACACTGCGTAGCCAAAGAATCAAAGTGAGGTATAAACTGGTTTGAACCCAACAAAAATAAAGACATAGTTATGAGATAGTTAGCCTGAATATCCAAAATCCAATATATGTGAATTTTGTATGTTAACAATCATACATAGCTAATCCCAGTTTCGTAATGCGCATGTGTAAAACACTTAAAATACATCAAGTGTTGTTTGAGTTAAGTGCCGGTATATTAACCTTGAGCATCTAATAAAACACGTTAATATTCTTGTTACACATAATCTCAACCAGTTTTTTTTTCCTGCTAAAGAATGTCAACCAGTTTTGGAGCTAATATCTCTCAGATAAAATGTCGGGAAAAAGAAAAAAAAAGCATAAAAGGGAAATACAGCAATGAACACTACTAAATTTTTGTTAGTAAAAAGGTTGGAATGATCAAGGATAACTGTTATTTTCATATCTTTTACTGTGTTCCGAAAGTCTACTTGCTATAATATAGAAGGTGAAGGGACAAAATAAGAAAAAAAACTAAAAACTGTTTTGTCAAGAGTGGGATTTGAACCCACGCCCTTTCGGACCCGCACCTGAAGCGGGCGCCTTAGACCAACTCGGCCATCTTGACGTTTTGATAGTACAAGTTACATAACTTGTTTTATTCTCTATACGACAATCTAGTTAAACCCTCTCCTCCGCTTGAACCCTAAAATCGAAAAATGCAATTTCATCATCATTCGGTTCCATTCTCCTCTCTAGTAATCTGAGGGAATGTTTTTTCAAAAGTCTCATTCTCTGAACTCAATCTCCCGACGTTTGAGAGATTTGGACTTCTCCATTGTTTCAACTCGAAGGTTATTAAATACGGACACCTCTCACTCTGATTCTGTTCAGACACACGTTTTATCTGGTCCTAAGTGTCCCGACAAAGCCAAAACGATCCTTCGTCGGATGCTGTCGGAAAAGAAACTCCACAGGTTTTTCATCTCAAATTCAATCCTAATTTTTGTTTTTGTAACTGTTTTTGTTTTTGTAATTGTTTTTGTTTCTTTTTTGTAATTGTGTTTGTTTTTGTTTTTATAATTGTTTTTTTTCTGTTTTTGTGTTAATGATTCCATAAAGTCTGAAACTTTCGCTTAGAGAAACAAAGTTTGGTCTCTCACTTGCAACATTTTTCTAGCTCTCAGGTAGAAAGAAAGAAACGGCAAGCAGACAAGGCATTACAAGGTCTATGCATCACAGGGAGATTAAAAGAAGCGGTTGGACTATTATGGCGTATCAACAAGTCAAAACTCGAGGCAGACACTTACTCTATACTCTTACAAGAATGCATACAAAGGCGCCAATACAAAAAAGGAAAACGAGTACACGCCCACATGGTTGTTAAAGGGTTTGCTCCTAATGATTATTTAAAAGTAAAGTTGTTGATACTCTACGCCTTATCAGGAGATCTCCAAACAGGTGGGATTCTCTTCCGTGGTTTGCAAGTTAAAAGTTTGATCCCTAGGAACGCAATGATCTCAGGGTGTGTTAAAAAGGGTTTTGAACAAGAAGGGCTTTTTATGTATTACGATATGAGATACTGTCGTATAGTTCCGGATCAGTATACTTTCTCCTCGGTGTTTAGAGCGTGTTCAGCGTTAGCGTCGTTGTGTCACGGGATGAGAGCTCATGCTGTGATGATAAAGTGTTGTCTTAAGTCGAATATTAGAGTTAATAGTGCTCTTGGTTATATGTATGTCAAGTGTAGTAGTGTCTCTGATGGGTACAGAGTGTTTGATCAGTTTGATGTTAGGAACGTGGTGGCGTGGACTTCGTTGATGTCTGGATATGGGTATCATGGGCAAGTTAAGGAGGTGTTGAAGTGCTTTGAGAAGATGAAGGGAGAAGGGTGTAGACCGAACTCTGTTACGTTTTTGGTGGTTTTAACTGCTTGTAGCCATGGGGGTTTGGTTGATGAAGGTTGGGAGTGTTTTGATTCCATGAAGAGAGATTACGGGATTGAGCCTGAGGGACAACACTATGCAGCTATGGTTGATATCTTGGGGCGTGCTGGTAGGGTACAAGAGGCGTATGAGTTTGTAATGAAGTCACCGTGCAAGAAACATGCTCCGGTTTGGGGTTCTTTACTTGGGGCGTGCAGGAATCATGGGAATGTGAAGCTGTTAGAGCTCGCAGCTAGGGAATATTTCGAGTTGGATCCAACGAACGGTGGGAATTACGTGGTGTTGGCCAATGGATACGCGAGTTGTGGAATGTTGGAGGCTGCATCAAAGGTTAGGAGGAGAATGGAGGATGCAGGTGTTAAGAAAGATCCAGGTTATAGCCAGATTGAGTTGCAAGATCAGGTTCATATGTTCATGATGAATGACACGTCTCATAGACTCTCTGGAAAGATACACAAGAAGGTCCAAGAGATGGCTTCTCTCTTCATGGAGGATGTTGACTACTATCCATTTGACTTGGACACTAGTTGTCCTCTTTGATAGATTGGTATGTCATCTTATCTTTGATTATGTGACCAAAACAACTTCCAGTGCTAGGCTCCTGAAAATCTGTTGTGGTTCAGACGCAATAATTGGTTTTGATGGCTAGCAAACTATTTGGTTGGGAGCATTAAGTTTATGGGTTTAGCTGGAGACTGCGGTAGTTAAGATAGATCCATGAGCACATAAATCCAGTGTAGAGCATAGCATCTTTTTTTTTTTTTTGATACTTCAATTTATCAAACAAAAGAAAGGGGGGAATTTACAGCGTAGAGTCTTGTCTATCCATTGTTTGTGTAAATTTTCCTTCGAAATTCCGTGGTAGTAATAAATGGTCATAATGGGTTCAAATTAGTTTCACAACAACAAACGCTGATATACTGTGAGAAGAAGAACTTGTCTTTTTGGTTCATTAGATTACTAGGTTAAAGAAATATTCTTACAAACATTAGATACTAGGTGATAATCCGTGATGAACTTTTATAAAGAAAATTTACGTTTTTCATATTATAATTTGATTATTTGTCCAATACATTTTCTGTGCTGAAATTTATTTACTATATATATGCTTTTCTCGATCAAAAATTTTGATTATGATTCTGACTAACGGTGTACAAATACAAATTATGCTAACAAAGTACTAATACGAAATAAACATAATAATTCATTAATAACAATTTATAAAGAAAACCCAACGCAGTTTTACTAAACTTCTTAAGACTGAACCCTATGTAAGTATATACTCGAATAACATACACTTGAATCGATTATGACCATTTTAATAGTGACCTTAAACCACGTTGTAAAAAAATAAAAAAAAAATAAAAAATTAAAATAATCGTGACCGTTAACCGCAGGATAATGTGTCATAGGCGTATGTAGGGGCCGCGTATGCTTTTCGCTTTGATTTTCCACATTGATTTAAAGGTTTTCAGTTTAGAAACCGAATTAGAAAATAACCATTTGGCCAAGTAGGTGACGTATATAAGAAAATTATACTCAATGGAGTGAAACTGAAAGTATGATGGAAAGTCTTAAGCTGTCCCTTTATTATATATATCCACCTGTTTCAAAAATTTGTATGTTTTAGTTTTTTTTTCACACATTTAAAAAAAAATACAAAATTTTGATTATCAATATATTATTTTTGAAAACTAAAAATTCTCCATAATTTTTAACCAATAAAATTATAATAAACACAATTAAATTTTTGAAATTGGTAATTTATCATTAATGAATACATTAAAAATACAAAAAAATAGCTTTTTGAAACAAATATTTTTTCTAAAATATGGATCTTATTGGAACAAAGGGAGTATTATATAGAGTTTTGATTTATATCTCAGTTTTGTAAATTCATTTATAAGTTAAATAATTTTTTTACTACTTTTGATATATTTGATGTAATTAAGGGAATAACCGTCAATTATATATTTGTGAGATATATATATATATATATATATATATATATATATATATATATATATATATAGTTACTATAACTTGCATCAAATTGTATATAATTAAAAATAGCTTGAAGAATAAATAAGATAATGTTTAAAGATTTAAACTAAATTTTGGATCCGCGTTTTTGTACTATTTTGTTGTTTTATCTACAACAGATAAAAAAATATTTTGTTTCGGTGATAAAAAATATTACAAGATCAAAATCAAATTTTAGTTATGCGGGTATGAAGAAATTTTTTAAAAGCGCGGATATTTTTTTGTTTACCGTAAAGCCAAATATTAAATGAATTTATAATTATTATTATATATCTATAATATTTAAGAGTTAATTCTATTATCATTATTTCAGTCTGGTACAATGTTTTCCTTGAATATTTATATCCGAACTGAGATTTATTGATCTATTTGTTGATATATTAATAAATATTTGATTTGGATAAGAATAAATATTTTATAAATAGCATTTGATCACGAATTTGCGTTATTTGTAAGTTGTCGAAATCTATTCAAAGATTAAGATAAGGTATCTGTATTATTAAAAATTATTATTAAATTTACTTGTAAGTATATTAAATATCAAAATACATAAATATTTAACAAATTATTGCTTTATTTTAATATTTTTATTAAAACTATCTATTCTAAAAATCTTTTAAAAAATATTCTACATAAATATTTAACAAATATGTGAGAATAATAGCATATTCTTAATTTTTACAAAGAGATTGTGTTCGTGTATTAAGGGTGATAGACATTATTTTTGCAAGAATATTGAAAAATATTTTAAAAGAGATTTAGCAAATTAACCAAACTCATTAAATAAATATTGAGTGTACTTAATTATATATTTTTTAGGTCCAAAAAACAAAAGATAATAATGCCATTAATGAAAATTTTAATTTGTTCATAAAAGTAATTTTTGAAGACGTAAATATTTCATTAAAGAGAATGATCATATTTTAATGGTATTGATAATATTAATAGGGGTGTAAAACACATATAACTAGGTAAAGATTTACGTCTTTCACGATATAAACATTATATATATAAATTCTTATTTATTTTATGTTCATTTAAGTATCATGAAATGCTAAATATATTAATAAAATAATTAAAAGATTAAGTACGTGTATATAATTAAATTGAAATAATAACACACATCAAAACAATTTTTTTTATTTACAATAATTTCATTAGTAAATAAATCAAAAAATCATTTTATTTATTTTATATAGAATATAATTATATTTTATTGATATTAATATATATAATATATTTTAATATTATTTTTATTAATAGAGACGTCATATTCCAATGATTTTATTAACATTTGTATATTTGATGTATCAGAAAATTTAAACCACTAATCACAAAATTTCAGTATGAAATTTTTAATAGTTTTAATAATTTATAACTGTTTAAAAAAATTAATGCAAATTCTAAAATTAAAATATTAAAGTCTCAATATATTTCAATGAAAGTTTTGAAATTAACATTATTTATATATTTTTATATGGTATATAATTTAATTAAACTATATATATATATATTTAATTTGACTATCTGTTAAATGTGAATTTATATTCATATAATTTTATGATTATTTGTATTTTGTTAATTTAAAAAAAAATTAAATATTTATGATCATTTGTATATTTAATTTGTATTAATTTAATAAGCAAACATATCATGCTAAGATCTTAACAACCAGCTCCGATCACATTAGAATAAGATGAATTCTGCAAAGAAAATCGAGAAAAGAATAAGAAGATACGCAAACATCGACAGCTGAACGTTGCTGAGGAAGACCAAAGACGTCACTCTTATTGCTGCTCAAAACCACACTAACGGAGATACGAGCACACGATTGAAATGGTACAACCAAGGAAGACTCAGGGACGAAAATGTTTGAACTGACGACTGGAGGATAACAGAGCCGGAGCTCCAAATCCTTTGAACATGCCAATTAATCCGTAGGCTTGCCTCTTAAGTCCAAACTGGATAATATCGTACTAATTGAATAATAAAGAATTGAACATAGAACACCGATCACAATGATCTAAGAATGAGAAGAAACAAAGCTGAACAAAATTATCTATACATGCAAGAGAAGAAACAGAGATAAGACACACAATATGACCGACACCATAGCTGTGAAAGCCCACCAACGTCGGTCAAAACAACAGCAATGATCAACAGCGATCTACATTTTTATTAAACTTAATTCCAATACACATTGTCGGGGTACAATATTAGCTATTATTTGGGCAACATGGTGGAAATCATCAATGGAACACTGCATAAATATTGAAAATCGTTAATCTTCATCAATATTTGGGGATCCAGTTTGATATGAAATTGTTCAAAATCATCTTTACAATGTTCTGCAAAATCCATAGCTCCTGCGATATCGAGATTTAAGCTATGAGGATCCTTGGCTGCTAAAGACTTGAGGGCTGAATCAAATGGCTCAAGCGTGTCTTCAAGATTTTTGGAGCATAAGCTATAATGTTTTTTTAGAAAAGGATCTTTGATGCTTTCGGCATGCAATTGTATTATTTTCTGTGTGTCTAAGGCTTCATGCTGCGCATATGTAATCAGAAACTTGGCCACGCCAAACAGATCTAGTTTTGTAATTTGAGGATAAGATATGAAGAGCTTAAAACATAATGAGGGATTCTCTGAACCCGTACATATGGTATTAATCTCAGTTTTTGTAACAGCCAAACTTAATCTCGTCGATGAAGAGATAAGAAAAAGCACAAGAAAAGAAGCAAACCAAGTATTGTTTCTGAAACACACCCCCATTGTTTTTTTATCTCTTTGCTTTTCTCTCTCTTCCTGCTCCTTAGTGGTTTGTTTTTTTAGACCCGAACTACATATAGTGTCTCAAAAAAATGTTTCAAAAAGAAGATTTACATGATTTATATTAAATGTTAAATATTACTCTTTACGTTTCAGAATACTTATCATTTTATACTTAATTGTTTGTCACAAATTAAGTGTGTTTTAGAGTTTCGAGGCAAAAATTATTAGTTTTATATAATATTATATTTTTCTATTAGTTGAAAAGTGATTAGGCGTATAGGTAATTGTGTTATTATCTTGAAAATATGTAAAATTAAATGTTCTCTTAATCTGTGTGCAAAAAGTTAGAATGACAAATAAAATGAAATGGAAAGATTAAATATTTTTGTCTTTCAGTGGTCAATATAGGATATCTTTTAAAACAAATATTTTATTTCTTGTAATGTTAGATTTAGTATGGATTTGATAGATTTAGTATCCTTTGACAACATATTTTTGACAGATTATTTGGGTTTCTACTGATTTATCACTTGACCACAAATTTACTTAATTTTGACAGATGTAATATATATTTGATACATTTATTTTTATTTAACCATGTTTTATTTAATTTTGAAGATTTAAATTTGGTTTTATAGATGTGTTTATTATTTGACCACAGATTGAATTACAATGGTAGACTTTTAAAATTTGGTGATAGATTAATTAACGATTTAACAGATTTGTTATTTCTTCGGCACATCTATCTATTAGATACACGAGAAGGTCCAACATATGGCTTCTCTGTTCATGGGTGTTGTTGACTACTATCCATTTGACTTGGACAGTAGTTGTCCTCTTTGATATATAGATTGGTTTGTCATCTTATCTTAGATTATGTGACCAAAACAACTTACAATTAGCTGACAGAGATCTGTGTCCAGTTGAGTGATGTAGCTGTTTCTCTCATATCAAACCCTGTCATGATGGAGAGTTCCAATGCTAGGCTCCTGAAAATCTGTCGTGGTTCAGATGAAAGTTTTGGTTTTGATGACTAGCAAACTAGTTGGTTGGGAACATTAAGTTTATGGGTTTGGCTGGAGACTGGCGGTAGTTAAGATAGATCCATGAGCACATAGATCTACTATAGAGCATAGCATCTTTCAT